ATGTAACACTGTTAAAAATGAAAGAAGTTCAAATCAGGCAACTGTGAAGACTTTGTGATTCAGAGGAGAAATACCTCAAGAATCATCTGATTATTTTGTGTAAAATGCCATAGTGCTTGAACAGAGGTGTAGTACTGGAAGTCGTTAGTTTGTAGCTTGCAATACTTGACTACGCATGAAATTCCCCCAGATATTTTGTAAAAGGGCAGGTATTTTCTATTTTAGGCTTCTTGCTCTCTGTTTGCTTGTAATCACCACCTTTCCCTATTAAAGGACTTTCACCCCAGCCACTGAACTCAGAGTCACTAATACAGAGAGTTTCCTACCTTTCAGAAACTACAGGCCACGCACAGGTCAACTTAACAAAATTAAGCATCTCCATTCTGTTACAGAATCACACATTTTTATAGAATCATTAAGGTTGGAAAAGACCTCCAAGATCAAGTCCAACCACCACCCAGTACTACCATGACCATTAAACCATGTCCCAAGTGCCACATCTACACATTTTTTGAACCCCTCTGGGGATGGTGACTCCACCACCTCCCTGGGCACCCTGGTCCAATGCCTCATCACTCTGTCCATGAAGAAATTCTTCCAAACATTCTACCTTTGTTTCTTTTGATGTGGTTATTGCTCACATCAGGCCACATCTGTACCTCATACTCCAGGCACTTCTGTTCTACACACAATATCAGTTTTGAAACAGAGAGATTTGTATCTTTGTTAACACGAACATTCTACACATGCAACACCAAATGTGATACATTTAAATTAAGTGTGCAAGCTTTATTTATCTTCTCCCTGCTTGTGTGACACCTACCTCTGCCCAAATTGGTGCAGGACACTTGGTAAATGCCTTGATATCTAAACCTCTGTTTTCAATGCAGCTTTTCTGACCTTTCTGCACAAAAAGCCAAAGACAACCCAAGCTCTGCACAAGAGCAGGCATCTCTGAAGGGTACCTCTTACTGCTGCGTACCTAAACACAGCGCCTGCACACTGCCTGCTACAACAGAGCATACTAAGAGACATGACTTCATTAGTTTTGAGCCAGAGAGATGAGCCAAATTAACCTGGAGGGCAATCAGACAATGAGAAGAAACTCCTTCCGAGATCAAGCAGAGATGCATTTCCTCATGGGAAAAATCTCTGCAAGTCTGGAGTAAAGAATGAGGAAGAGGGACATGGATTCAGATCACAGCCTGTCCTGAAGAAGAAACTTCAATTCTCCTTCCTTGTTCCTCTCGTCTCATCCCTTGCAAGTAACAGCAAACCACACCACCTGCTTCACACGGAGATAAGCCATCAGATGACCCGAGGAGGAAGAATCAGGCTTGACACACTACCTGAGCCAGCTGGCAAGCCTCCTGCAGCTTCCCACCATTAGCTCTCTTCTCTGTCCAGCTGAGTCTCTCCTTCACTCAACAAAGTCCAGTACTGTTGTTTTGGTTGGAAGAGACCATTCAGATCATTGCGCCCAACCATTCCCCCAGCACTGCCAGGTCACCACCAACACATGTCCCTCAGCACCACAACTCTATGGGCTTTGAAATCCCTCCATGGATGGGGACTCCATCACTGCCCTGGACAGCCTGAGGTAGGCCTGAGCAACACTCCTGGGGAAAACATTTTTCCTCATGTGCCACCTGAATCTCCCTTGGCACAATTCAAAGCCGTTTCCTCCCATGCTACTGCTTGTTACTTGGGACAAAAGACCCACAACTTTAATTAAATGACTATAATTAACCATAGTGAATCATGGGCTGATTGAATATGCCCAAAATACTAGTGAGTCAATACTCCCTCCATTAGCACTACAAAAATCACTCAGCCTTCCCTCTGAAAACCCCACTTTACCCATCTGACATCTCTCAATATGCTGTCCTTCTCCTGCAGTGTTCTCACAGCTGAAATCTCCATCTGTTTCCCAGTGTTTAGGTGTGTTTCAGGCAGGCAAGAAGCAAGTATTTAAAGCCCACTTATTAGTAATGCAGTAACATATCTTAATTTTTTTTCTACCTCAAAAATACTTGTGTGCCAGCCTCCTGGATGGTGCAGAATAACCACTGCTAAAAAGAACTGTTTCCTTCTTACTGGTCCTAGCTGGAGCCAGGGCCAGGCTAGTTGAAGGAAGTGTTTTTAGCAATCAGGTGCTTGGTCTGGAACACGGCTCTGTAGCAGTCTGTGTTTCAGATAGCACTGGTGTCAGCAGTCCTGGCTGTGAACTCCCATCTTCTCTTTAAGTGAGCTCAGAGACAGCCCCTGCAGGCCTGGAATATACCGAAAGGGCTATGCAAAGGGAACATCACCTTCAAGCCTCCTCCTGAGTCTATCAGAGCATAGTCCTGTCTGGATTTTGGAAGGAGGCATCTTTCCCAAGCAACAGTGTACTTAGGATAAAACATATCTGTACATGTTCAATTTCCCTAACCCTCTACAGATAGGAGAGATGAAGGTTGTTTATGAACCAGAGTTTGGCTTGTTTGGCTGAACTGAGCACAGATTAAAGTAAAAGCAGGATGGATATTTCCACACTGCACCAATTCCCAGATACAGGAGTGCAGCTAGACTGGTTTTGAACTGGAACAAAAGATTTATAGGGAAGGTTTGCATTTCTGGACCTGTTTACTCCCTTGTCTGTATCCACAGACATGTTTTGTCAGGTTTACTTGTTGTCGGACAAGCAGCTTGACCTGGTGAGTCAAAACCAGATTTGGTGAAAATCTAACTGCGCAGTTTTCACCAAAGAAGCTGAGAAATCATCTTTGGTTTAGGCTTCACTGTCCTTTGGGACAGACCAAGGACTAGAAGTGATGTATCAAACGGAAGCTGGCTTAACCTCTCTACTCAGTGAAAACAAAGCTCTCAGTATATGGAAACAAACAAGTACTTTCCTGAATTTATAGGAGCTATTTTAACAACTAGGTTATTAATGATTTTGCAAACTTTGCCTTGGTGTCCAGCACCTCTTTTTTTTTGTTTGTTTTGGTTTTTGTTTGTTTGTTTGTTTGTTTTTGTTTTTCTGTTTTTTGTTCCTTCTCTTCTGACATTGTGGAAACACCGTGTACCCCACCTGCAAGCCCCTGCAGAGCTGGGCTAGCTCCAGGAGATGCAGTCCCTTTACAACCACCCACCCCTGTGAAATGACCTCAAGCATGTTAGACTAACACTCACTTTCCAGTTGTCTGCAGACACCCTGCAGAGTTTCACTTCTTGCTCACTTTCTGTTATTTTCTTCCCTCCTTCAAAGAGGAAAAGCAAAATCCAAACCTCTTTCCTTTCTGGCCAACTGGCACCCTACTCAGTAGCAAACGTGTGCATTCTGTCCCACTCTACTAAGCTGTGCAGCCCTAACAGATATTACAGTTTCTGAGGCCACACACTGCCTACTGACAAACCGTCCTAACTCTAGTAACATACTGAACTTCAGCTCTCTCCCAATTCCATTAAAACTGCTCTTCAAAATCCCCCAGTTCTTTATTTCAAATATTCTTTTTTTTTTTTCAAATAGAATTTGAGCCACATACCCTCATCCATTTACTATTAACAGATGAAGATTAAACCCCCTCTCCAGGGTTATAACTGAGATTTCTTGCCACAGTTGCCATTATTGAATCTCAGACTAAGCTGATAGCGTCTGAAGAGAACTGGTTCTCTCGGGCACGTTGCCATGACTGAGAAGGAACATGGCAGCTGGATGCATGGCACACATAAGCCATTCAGAACCTCAAAAAGCCTTCATCAAAGGTCCAGTTAAGAGACACCTAAAGCTGGAACTGTCTGAATATCCAACAACCATCTCAGATCGGCAGCCACCTGAGAGACAGAAAATTACATGGAAATAAAGAGCCATTTATAAATGATGGAGAAGGTCAAAAGCAGAACAGGGGAGGTTTCTGAAGGACACCTGGCACTATTACACGTGCAGAACTAGAGGAGAAAGGCTTGTCAGCCAGCAGAAAAAAGGTAGGAAACAAATAATTCAGGTCAGCTATGAAGACAAGAGTTTCAGAAGGGAAAAAAACCTGGGGATATGAGGTAACATGTAATTCAATGTTTGGAAACTCAAGACAGTAATCTGAACTACTCCTATCCTTTACAGTGTTCTAAATTAACTGTGCCAGCTCGTAAAAAGATCTGGCCACCAGCATAAACCAGCAAGTCCCCGCATGAACCTGGTAAAGCATCTGGATACATGAGATGGTGAACAATACAGGAAAAGTTAGAAATGATGCAGTATTAATGCTATCACATGGGACATCTGGAATATTGTGGAGGATTTAAGTGATCCCACTCCAAAAATATGTAAAGAGGTCAAGGTGGAAAAGACTATGGGAAAATTCTCAGATGACAGTGATACATCCAGAAGCCAAAAGGGAATTTTACAGAACAGGTCACCTGCACGCCAAAGAACAAGAGAGATGTAAATATATAAATTAAACTTAAAATATCTAGAGTTCTTAAAGGCAGATAGGGAAAAGACCTATTAGCACCACAAGTTACTGATAGAGCAAAGCCAAATCCCATGTGAGTATGTTCCTCACAATCTGTAGCAGTGGTCTTGGCTCTTGGCATCAACCTGCTCTCATGAGGCTGTTTCTAGTTGAAACCACGGGGGGCTTGAATTCTGAGAGGGTGCTTACCCCGAGAGCCATGCAGAAGCTGCAGTAGAGCTGTCTAGACATCAGCTCGGTCTTTGTGTTTTCTTGCTATCTCTTTACACACAGTGTCATATTGCTTTTTAAAATCTGGCCTGTTCCTGGCTAGCATTAGCTCAGGAGCAACCTCAGGTGATACTGAGGGATGAAATGTCTGCTCCAGCCTGTGCCTTTTCCAAGCACAGCAGCCATTTGACAGCAACCCATTAAGACTACTCTGACCCTGCAACGTGAGATGACTGTTTTTTTGGATCAAGTTTCCTCCTCCACGATGCGATCAGGAGCAGATCACTAGACAACAGACCATTGTAGCCAGAGACAACCAAAACCAGTACTTACTGAGGGGTTTAAGGATGCTGCTGCTTGTCTCGTCAGTGTTTTCTACGTCGGACTTGTCCGAGTAGTTCTCAGAGATTTTCTCTTTTTCTTTCTTTTCTTTGTGCCCAGGTCTTCTTCTGTGACGCCTCCTTCTCCTATAGCTCTTCGGCACGTGGACCCCAATGTAAATAGTGTGATGACCTAGGGAACACAAGCATAGCAAATATTAACTGCCACTGCATGTAGTTTGTGCATCACTGGCCAGTACAGGTCACGCTGCATTTTATCTCAATTGGCAAGCAAAGTCCCTTTCTTTCCTGGCCTGACATTAATCAGTGCTGTGTTTCTTGACTCCAAATATGAGCTGGGAGCTCATGAGCCACCATTGGAAAAGTATTTTTTGTACAGTCATTTCTGAGAGTGCATGCCAGTACAATCTCTCTGATAATGATTCTGCTCTTGTGACTCATTTAGAAATAAAAATAAAAGCCACAGAAGGCCACCATTATCCTTCTGCAATATTGGCTACAGTGCTCTTCAAAAACATCCTATATTCATTTCTCCATTTCTTTTACCCAATACATTGGGTGGATTTAACACCTACCTTGTGCAAACTGATCCAGCTTAATTGAAGAGCTCAGAGCAACACAACTTACATCACTTGACTACAGAGTCTGTTGTGTAACAAGCATCAAAGTACCACCAGGGTTATTATAACACAGCAGCTGAGGAAGGACTGCTAACAGGAGTTACTGTAAACTTCTCAGTACTTGACACTTTCCAAAATAAAAATGAACTAATAGAAGAGGAAGTGCCAGATTTCGTACGCTGACTGTGAACACAAAGCATGATGTTCTTCTTTCACACAGGCTTTCACTTCAAACCAAAGCACTTCAACTCTATTTGCCAACCATTATGTCTTTTTGATGAGTTTGGGAAACATTTTATTTTCAGGGCTTTCTGCAATTCTACCAACTCAGGATAAATATCTTCCCTTGTACATACAGAAAGCATTTGGGTAGTTCAGACATCTTTCTGTAAGATTTCAAAAAAAGCCTCTTCAGATGTAACTCTTCACAAGGTTCCAGATGAAGCACCTACTTGCAAGACACATGAAGCTGCTCTAGAAATGCCAAAGCAACAGTAAAGCCAGAGTCCTCAGCCACTGTTTAATTTCCTTGCTAAACATGTGTCTCTAACTCCTCATTGTGATAAATCCAATTTCTGAGACTGAACAATTGAAAATTTAGGCACAAAGTACCAAAATCCCATAACAAACTGACTTTTCCATTAAAAATAACCCTGCATTTGCCATTTCAAATTCCACACACTCCCGAGGCCACCTGTGAAGTCTGAAGAGTCCTCCAACTTTTCTGTATGTGGATTTTCCTACTGAAAGCATCTGAGGTGTTTTTAGAAGCTCCTTGACCAGAGTGCTCCTCCTACATAGCAATTTTAAAATAGCTACCTGCATTCCCCAGGGGCTTTGCAAACAATGGAATGATGAGCTGTATGCAAGGATGGGGCCAGCAGCTCATCCAAATAACTCATGAAAATAGCTCATGTCCTGTGCATATCACACTGTCTCTCACCCCCATCTAGATGTGCTCTACAGCCCAGCAAGGCTACTTAGGTATACAGATCTCCAGGAGTAGCTCCTCTGGAGTCTTAATTCCTACTGCACTCTTAATTCTCAAAGACCACCAAAATTAGAAGGATTAAAAAAATTTTTCTCCAGTACAATCACTTGAAAAAATACATGTTAAACCCCAGACAGGAGCTAAGTGTGATATATCTTGGTTCCAAAGTCATTTGCAATTATGCAGAAGACCACACTAAATAAATAAAACAGATAACAAGATATAAGCAAACAGCTATGAAGAGTAAGTGAAAATGTCTCTGAGTGAAGTTACAGTTAGTTTTCAGCCAGTGTTATCTAGGCTGAGATATGAGAAGTTCCCCAGGCCAACAGCTGTACCACTGTTGGGCACAGTAGTGGACACTACTAACTTGCCATCTCAGGGAGCAGGACAGGAAAAGAAGCAGAAATCTGGGGTGGAGCAAGGTCCAAAATCACAACAGTGACAGAAGACAAGGGACCTGCAGCCGATGTCTCCAGCCCAGCGTGTCAGCACTGTGAGAATGGGCAGAGCCACAAAGCTGGAACCATCTGCAGCAAGACCTTCCAGCTCAACACCTGAAGGTATGAGTTAGCTCTCACGTGCCAAAGGAAACCAGGAAAGCCACTCCTGCAGCTGGGAACATCAGCTTTAACACAGCAGATGGCATAAATACTACACAGGGACAGAGAGGGGAGCATCTTATCCGAGCGCAGGCAGGAGCCATCGGGTGGCCCCAGGACAGATGTGGCAGCACCAGCTGTTCCCAAGGGAATCTTACAGCCAGGATCACATCCAAAAGCCAGGTAGAAAAGGATAGGGCAACGCCGGTATCTGTACTTTAACAATGTCCTCATTTGAATCACTTTAACTCTGTGGTCAGCTTGATAACAGAAACACATCATAGTACGCCCGTAGTCTTAATACTTTAATATGCTGCCAACAGAACTGGACAATATCTTTAATCTTTTGGGCCACGTGTGCACAGTACAGATTTTGGTAATATGAAATTAAGTTGTATATATGCAGGCAAACATCTGCATTACTTAGCTGATTTTCCCCATTCCGCAAGGGAATATGCTGCTTTTTATTGCCCCCCTCCTGCCGCCTCCCAGTCTGTTGAGGGAGGCCAAGCAAGACATTTTCCTTTTCTGCGTATTTGAAGTGCTTGGTATCTGTTTATATTGCTGCAAATGCTGAGATAAACTTCTAGGCTCCCTTCCCAAAGCGCCTGGAAGGAAACAATTGACACATACTCTCAATGCACTGCGTTTCTGAGACATTTCCTACTTGCTGGGGGAACAGAGCCTTTCCCATGAGAACCACCGGCTACAAATAGTGATGCCTGATAAATTTAAGGTGACACACAAGCACTGTGCTAATATCCTGCTAAACTTCTCCTGGTAATCCAGGTCCCGCTCAGCTGTAACTTGCTCGAGTATACCCAACACGGGCCAGTAGCCAGTTTCCTCCCATGGCCCTCTGTGCATTCCCAGCCTTTTCTAGGGGCTGCTCTCACCACCCTCCCCCAGGAAGACAATTAGCCTTTGTGCATCTCATTAATTTTTAGAGGCGTTTCGGTTGACGAGAGGCGCCTATTTCCCAACACTGAAATCCTGTAGGCAAGATGCACAGCGAGACCTGCAGGTCAAAGTGGCACCTTTTCTGGTGGGTTGTGGCTTCCTTGAACTTACCCCTGCCGTAGCTAAAACTTTTGAAGTTAGCTTCTTCAGCCTGAGGAGAAACTGTACTGTGCACCAAATTGGGAGCAAAATCATTTCATCTGATTATTAATAGAGTAAGAAATAGTCATCATCAGAGAGGTATTTTTCCCCCCAGAAAAATGTTGGTTGAGACTACATCTTTTGTTTTATTAAGCACTATTAAAGAACAGCAGCTTATGATTCAGAGTCCAGATTTAGAGTTTGGGCATGGGAGACTCCCTAAGTCAGTTTTACTGGTGAAAATCCACTCATGTATTACTCAATTGAAGCTCTGTACAATGCAGCCTTCCCTCCCTGCCTGCAAGAATATCTCTTCATCTCTTGTCTCCAGCCTGGCCAAGCATAGTCTTGCTGACGCCCTGGGAACAAAACTATCCAAATCTCAAGTGGTGCACTCCACACAAGCTCACGTGCTGACCCCAGCAGCATGAGACAAAACTGCTCCAGACCCCAGCCTCCATGAGCCAGGCCGCCGAGCAACTCCGTGCTACTGCTTTTCTGAGTTAGTCCATTGAGGGAAATGTGGGGCATAAAGAAACGTAAATAGAGGAGGAAAATAATTGTACTGAAAAATAATAACGGTAAGAAATCCATGCAGTCATGTCAGCCCCAAACTGGATGTTCCAAGGTCTGTGAAGTGCCAGCAGTCTACACTACTTGAAACACGTGGATCTATTGATGCCACAAAACCGACGGCATATGACAAAAGCCATCTCTACAGGCAGAAATCGATTCAAGTCATGTTTCCCAAACTAGTTCTGCTACCACATTTGCCTTAAAGTGCATTATCATTTCTTACCAAGAAACCACTTCCTCCCAGAAGAGTTATACAAAACAGACCTGATGTATGACACACCTACAGAGAGCTGCAGAGCTCAGGTTTCTCATGAAGTCTGAGTTGAGGTGACTCTGGGGAGCTCCATCCTGTATCAACAGTCTTTCCCCCTCTTTTAAGAACATGGTGACAGTGCAATGGCTTCTGCTTAGAAAACCCCAAACTTGGTCATTTGGAGAAAGCCAAAAGTTATAGGATCAAAGGGTAAAATGTGCCTGCTGCATAAGATCTCAGAAGGAATCTCTTCCACATGACCAGGGTTGTTGAGACTTAGAGCCTGGTCAGACTAGCCCCTAAAGAACCACAGGCTGGCACCTTAGAAGGAAACAACATTGCAACCTAACATTAAAAATTTAGAAAGCCATGAAAATGACACATATTAGCAGTTTTCACCTGGCCCTGGTTTTCACTTTCAAGGCTCCTTTCCAAAGAACCTGTAGAATCACATTAAACCACACAAGGCTTGGACATGCTCCTGTGGTTACAATTGGCATGTTTAGACCACCAGCCTCTCCTCCACAAGCTCTGGCCACTCGTGCCTCCTGGGCAGCCAGGCTCTCAGTGAAGACCAGGACAGGTATTTCAGGCCGCCCAGATGAACAACTTTGCTCAGGACGCCCCAATCCTTTAACTTTGAGACATGGCTGAGCTATAAGACGAGACAGGCAGGTAAAAGTCTGCCCGATTCCCTGGCTTAGCTATCAGTCTCGTGCCTGGATGGACCTGAAATGCAATGTAGCCCCAGGGTGGGTAAGCTTTACTTACTGATGTGGCTTCTAATACATCCTGGGAGCTTTCACTCCTACCACTAATAAGCTGCTAACTTTATGAGAACTTACTCCATGGAGATGTGTGACATTTAGGAATCAGCACCTACCGCAGCTTGGAAGTTGCATGAGATGGGCAGGGGATGCAGCCCACTATGTACTTATCAGCAGAAGATGACACAGCACAAATTGCAGCCAAGAAGAAGGTGTCTGTGTACGGCCAAGCACCCGGCGAGACGTGGCACCAGCCAACATG